TGATCTAAAGTAAGATAGAAGCAAAACTATGCAGCTCTCTGCCATCACCAAATGTCAGAAATGAGACAGTTGCTCTTCTATAGGAAGGCATTTCACTTGCCAAATTCCTACAGGGCTTCTCCCCACGCAACATGAAGTCATGCTGGGGGATGGGGGAAGGCCCCATGGTACTCTAGCAGAGAGAAGACCAAGAATGCTGTTAAACAGCTCAAAGAGTATAGAAAAGCCCGCTTAACTAAGTCTTGAGCATGAAGAATCCTATACTAAAGCAGGATCAATAGTCCACCCCCGCTCCCCACCAATTCTGATTTAAGGAAAAATGCAAGCAATATTAGTGATTAAGAATAAAGTGGTTGCCAAGTACCTGTGTCTCACGCCTACAATCCTAGCTATTCAATAAGCTGAGATTCAGAGGTTTTCAGTTTGAGGCTGCAAGAGGCCAGTCAGAGGCCAGCATGGGCAGAAAAGTCTGTGATATACCATCTCCAAAATAACCAGCAGAAAGTTAGGCTGGAGGCGTTGCTCAAGTGATAGATGCCAACAAGCTGAGCAAGTATGAGGCATTGAGTTCACATCCTGGTACCAGGTAAAGGGAAGGAAAAAAGAAAAATGAAGAGAGTGAGAAGGAAACAGGGAGGGGAAGAAGAGGAAACAAAAGAAATTAAAACTAAATAATAATAAACTAGGGGGAAATCAGAATGAAGTGTTAGACGTTAAGTATAATGGTTCGGGGCTATAATCCTAGCACTTGAGAGGCTGACCCTGACTAGGATACATAGCAAGATCTGGTCTCAAAAAATATAATTTTAAAAAGTGTTAGGATTCTCACTCACGCCTGAACCATGTGCTGGAGAAAGTTACTGTTTTGGGCTTTCCTCCTTCATTTGTAGGTGGGCTGGTGAAATGGCCCTTACAAAGAGACTGGGAAGATACCAGAAACCAGGAAGGCTTAACTTTTATTATTAATAAAACTCCCATGGTGACTCAGTAGCAAGAAATGGATGGCTAGATTGTCTTAAAATAGCATTATCTTATCCAGCAACAGTTAGTATATGAAGTGGGACATTTTATGAGCCAAAATGCAACACAGAGAGTTAACAGTTGATATTCCTCACTACTACATTATAATCAAGACAAAAGAGGGACTGGCCAAATACCCCGTTGCCATAGTAACAAAAGTTTGAATGGGTCTGATTCATTTTATTTCCAGTAAATGCTTTATATCTGTCAGACTGGGCTCTATGTCCAAGCCCCCTGCACGGTGGTGAAGTATTTTCTCCTTACTAAACCTAATATTATTCTGAGGCTTGAAAACCAATTTACCATAGTCAAAATTGCCACCAAAATCAGGAGGAGTTGACAGGCAGTCATTTTCTGTGGGTCTCTGTAATGGAGCTCAGTAGTTAGTAGGGTATGGGGGTGGCTCAGTAAGACAAATTAAGCCGGCTTCCAACATCTGCACTGGTACAAGATTTCCTTGTTTCTCACTGTAACTGGGAGAAGAGGAAAAGACAAGAACATGTGTGAAATGTTGATGCTCACATCTCAGCCTTTATGAGCCTTACTCATTTGCACTCCCCCATACACTAGAGCTAAGAATGATTTCTAAGCAAAGTCATGGAAGAAGTGAGAGATGACGCTCTTATACAATTATTTGTTATAAATTTGTCGTTTACTTTCACACAATGTTTAAATTGACTTAGGAAAAAGAGAAAAGAAATCCACTGAAAAATGAGGGAAATGTTGCCAGGCACCTCACTGACAAGCTCATGCCTGTCATCCTAGCTACTCAGGAGGATAAGATCTGAGGACAGAGGTTCAAATTCAGCCTGGGAAGAATAGTTAAGTCAAGGAGACTTTTATCTCCAGTTAACCACCAAAAATGCCCAAGGTGGTGTGGTGCGTCAAGTGGTAGGGGGAAAAAAAATAACTAGGAGGGGAAAACTGGCAGAGAGCAAGAGAGGAGGTGACATTATCCAAAAGAAATGTCTTCTTTATCAGACTTAGGAAACTTAACTTCTCTGTACATCACCTTTATAAAAATAATAGTAACTTTTAAGGAAAACAGTATGTTATAGAGAAAGCAGAAGCAACAAGATAGAGGACAAAAATGCATCTCTTAAAGTTATTACATGCCTCAAGCGCATGCTTTAGTCTGAGTCTCCTAGTGGCCAAAACAACAATAAAGCCTCCATGTGTAGACCTCAGACCAGCATATCTGTGTGTGTGTGGGGGGGGGGGGGGGGGAGGGAAGAGGTGGGGGTTGTTAGGAATTGAGACAGGAGCCCCACCCATTCCTACAGATTCCAAATCCACATTTTACCAAGAATCCCTCCTCCTAATGCCTTCTTGCCGAATAAAGTTCAAGCAGCTGTGGAGTGAAATGTGACAGGGCTGGGAGGGGGGGTGGGTTGGGATCTCAGAAGTAGGGGTGTGAGTCCTGGACAACTGTCAGACATTTTTAGTCAGAATCTGCCTTTGAGATGGGCATTTTTGTGAACTTTTCCAGGAGACAGCAAATAATCTCTGAAAGAAACTCTCACCAAGGATCTGATGGTTCAAGTCCCTGATGCACCCTTCAGTGCTGAGGAGCAAAGCTGGGCCTGACTTAGGATATAAAATTTGATCTCTGCCCACAAGATTCCCTAAACCCTAAGAGCACCTCCAAAGAGATCAGCTTTGTCACACACTTACCTGCAGGGGGCAGCAGAGCAAAGCGGTTCAGGGAATCACTCTAGCCAGGTCTCTGCTTCCAAACTATGGCTCTGCCTCAGCTGGTTACTGAACTTCTCAACCTGTTTAATGGGGATGCCATATACATTGCTTCACAGGGAGATGTGAGGCCCGCATTAAGACTATCCATGCAGAGCATTGGATATAGAGTACAGATGTGTATAGTGAGGTGGGATCTTAGCAATGAGAACGCAGACCGAAAAGAGCCAGAGTGCTCACTCACGGCATGAGATCTGTCTATGCACCATGCATGATGCAAGCCACACACGGGTATCATTCAGGGCTCTGACTGCTCCCCTGTCTCCCCTGTGCATAGCTGACTCTTCTAGCCCACTGGTGATCTCTGTCACTCCACTGAGACTGTGGGTTCCCCTGCAAGCCTGGAATAAAGTATGGACATGAATGCTGTCAAGTGCCCACGGTTGCTGAGCCTGGGAGCCCCTCAGTAGGCCTTTCCTCTGTCTTCAAATCCAAGCAAAACATTGAGATACAGTGATGATAAAAGTGAGTGTCTAAAGCTGAGTACCAGTGGCTCCTAACTACTCAGGAGGCTGAGATTTGAGGATCATGGTTCAAAGCCAGCCCAGGCAGGAAAATTTGTGAGACTCTTATCACCAATAAACTACTCAGAAAAATCTGGAAGTAGCACTATAGCTCAAGCAGTAGAATGCCAGCCTTGAGCACAGAAAGGCTCAGGGACAGCGCCCAGGCCCAGAATTCAAGCCCCAGGACAGGGGTGAAAAAAAAAAGTGGGGGTATCTTGGGACCCAAATGAAAAGACTAGAACCTAGAATAATATTTCCCTACGGAAGAATGATTAATCAACAAACAGGAATGGGGTTGGAGGAAGCAGAAAGGGAAAAGAGAAGGCTAAGTGAAATAATCAGGAAATGCTATAGAAAGCCTGCTCTGTGTGTGTGTGTGTGTGTGTGTGTGTGTGTGTTTGCACGTGTGCGTAATCCTCCCCTATCAGAGTCCTTGGGAAAAGAAGTCTGAGAGAACAGCAGTATGGGAGAGGGAATATAAGAGAGCAAGCAACCATTTGTCCACACAAGTCTTTGTACATAAACTTTGTTCTTTGAATCATTCAACAAATGTTGACTGAGTATCTCATTCCTCATTCCACGAGCTGATGTTGTTTGGTGTGGAAATAAGTGAGCAAAATACACTCAGGCTCTTTCTTGGTTGTCCTGCAGCTTCTAATGTTGCTTGATAGATGGTGCCCATGGCCCTTTCCTGTATCTGCTTATTTACAAGTCAAAGAGGAGGAGCATACTCGAGCAACAAAGGAGAGGGACATCTACCTAGGCAGAGAAAAGAGAAGGAAAGGTTTCTGGGACTAGAGTAAGATAGCCTTGTCCTTTTCTATTGATCCACAGACAGACCCATCCATCCATCCTTCCATCCATCCATCCATCCATCCATCCATCCATCCACCCATCTTAATCCACCAATCCATTTCAATCTAACCACAAGTTCATGCATCCATCCAGCTGATCCACTCTGATTCATCAATACCTACCTACATACATACCTACACATACATACATGCATCTGTTTTCTTTTATTGTTGTTGTTGTTGTTGAGAGTCTTCACATGTAGCCCAAGCTAGCCTTGAACCCACAATTCTCCTGAGTGCTAGGATTACAGGCACATGCCACTTCATCTGGCCCACATTCTTTTTAAGCAGCAACTTCTGTTGAGGTGTTAACAGTTCTGCACTTCCATCGACAGAGAAGTCAAAGAACTTAATGGTGTCAACCATGTAAATAACCAGTATTTCGTGGAGGGTGCCAGAGGGCAGGTTTCTACTTAGAAGAAAGACAAGCCTCACCCAACTAAAATCCTATGCTTAAGCATAAAGTTGCATGCAGGGTCAAGAACAGAAAACAGTTGCCTCCCCTGCTCAGCTGCAGCCCAGCCCCACCTACCCTAGAATTCACCGGGAGGCATGGTTTCGATTGTTTACTTTGTTCTGGCTTCACTTGAGTCCTCTGCAGTCATCCAGAGGGCAAAATAGCATGCTGCTCCTCTGCAATTTTCCTCAAGACCAGCCATAAACAGAAGACTTCAAGGAGAACTGTTGACTGGCAGGAGAGAAAGTCTGGCAGAATTAACAAGTTAAGTGATGACACAAATCTGCCTTTGTACTCCCACTGTCTAAAATGGAAAACAAAATAGTTTGGAAATGCAGAAAATAGAGGGAGAAACCTGGCCCAAGATCAACAACAAGTCGCAAGCGCGCGCAGGGAATGCGTGGTTCCTAGATGTGTTGTTTTCAAAGTCCTTCGCCCTTGCCAAAGTTGGGTTCGCATCAGAGCGTGACTACACAAGCCACTGCTCAGTTTCCTCCAGATCCAGCGCTCCCCCCACCTGACAGGGCACCTCAGTGAGCAGCGGTGAACCCCACACAAACCCCATCCACCACTCTGTCTGGGCAGACTTAACTGCTAGTGGCAGGGACTCCCTCTAAAGTGGGATCCCCAGTTTCTCTGGGGGCTTGGCCATGCTTCCAGTTCCCTCCAAGAATTGAAAAGGCTTGGGCTCTAAACTGTTTCCACCACGCCCATGGACTTGGTCAAAGGAACCCGAAGGGAGGGATTTTAATGGCATCACCTGGAAACCTTGAACAACCAGGGCAGGCCTGGCCTGGCCCCATGACTCAGGGGAGGAGGATTCTGAGCAGATGTTCAACATTCCCTCTGATTGTCAGAAAGTAGTCTAACAGCTTCTGCTGTCACCAGCAACGGATATAGCCATGCACACAAGAGCGTGGAACACTGACTCACATGGCTTCCTCAGGCAGGGAGAGGAAGAGCAGACACACACACACACACACACACACACACACAGAGCAACCAGTGAACCACACACACACACACACACACAGAGCAACCAATGAACCCAGGATCTTTTCTTGTAACAGGTAACTTGATATTACATGCTACCTGCCCCCTGCACCCGAGAGCAAGGGATGGGATGGGTATAAGGAATGTTTTTGAGCACTCCTGCATTCCCAGGGAGGGGTGGAAAGGAGCTCTCTTCTGGAAAAGGACAATCATGGAATCCCATATCAGGGAGAGATCAAAGACAAAGAACAAATGGCTATTTGGGGAGGGAAATCAGGGCAAACTCATCCTTCGGTTTGTTTTACCAATGAACTCCTAGTGAAAACGTAACTAGATGCAAAGCCTAGTAGATTTTTAAAAAAAAGATAAGACTTGTAGCATCTATGCTTTCAGCATAGAAAAGGGTCCCAAGCCTAGAGTTCCCCACTGCTTTTGGTGTTCCCTTCTCTCTCCAAGAAACACAGGTAGAAAAACATTGACAGGGGATGAAAAGTAAGGCTCCCCCCACATCCCCCACCCTGCTCCCCTCCCCCCCCCCAGGAGGGCTGGATCCTTCTAAATCCTCACAGATATTCCAAACCATTCACTCATTCACTTCTGATCTGGGATGATTTTCTCTTCACACTTTTAATTGTTCTTTATCATCCAAAGACAACCAACTGCTTGCACTTAAAGGTGATGATGTTATTATCAACTATTATGGATAATTCTTAAGAGCAAAGTAAAGGTCAAGAATTGTCCTAAATACATAATCAGCCTACGTGTATTTAAACTGCATGAGGGAGATGCTATTTTATTGTCTCACTACCCCCTTCCCACCCCTTCACAGATGAGAAACCTGAGCAAAGAGATTAAAGAGTATTGCCTGGTATGCAATGAAGTCAGGACAAATCAAGGCGAGCTTGAGCTAGGCTGTGTGTTATAAAGCTTTCTCCACACCAACTCTCATACAAAAAAAAAAAAAGAAGACGAAGAAGTTCAGCAGGTTACCCATTATTCCACCTCCTGGAGATACCCACTGCCAACAAGGATATAATCTTGTTGCCATTACTTGTTGAGATTCCCAAAGGCTAGGCACTTCTTGCTGAGAATTTCATTTCTAGCTCAGATAAAATCATCTTCTCTCCTCAACATTGCAATGTGAATGTCTGTGATTCAGCCGATGTCTTTAGGAAAAAATATACAGGGAATGAACCTTACAAGCAAAACAAAACACTAACCTGCATCTGGTCACCATCATGTTACTTGGCACTCTGTTCAGAAGGGTTTCTTTTGAGGTCAACACTCTCACTAAGACACCTAGACCTAAGAGAAGGGAGCACCTGATGGGCTGCCCTACACATAGATGGATGCTGATGACACAAGATCTTGTCCTGATCATTAAGACTCTCGGCCTACTCAAGACTCTTAGACTCTGGAGGCAGCAGGTCCCAGGCTCCTCTGGGCTACTGGTTATGGTATGAATTCCTGGGATCCTATTTTGAGGATTCAGTTCCAGCTTTGAGACAAAGCCATATTAACAGAGGAAGGAGACAGGTGATTTTCCAAACACACTTCTAGGAAATACTGGCTGGAAGACCCAAGACCTGCACTCCATTGTTACACTGAAAGCAAACTTTCTTTTCTTCTTTCTTTCCTTCTTTCTTTCTTTCTTTTTCTTCCTTCCGTCCTTCCTTTTCTTCCTTCCTTGCCTCCCTCCCTTCTCCCCCTCCTTCCTTCCTCCTCCTTTTCCCTCTCTCTCCCTTCCTACCAAACATGTTGCACAGCTTTATGCTGAACCACCTACAATACTCTTTCACTCTCAGAAAATTGATTAGCCATAGTATTCTGGTTAGTGTGGTCACTGTCAGGTGACAGCAGGCAAGTATTTGAGGCTGTCTGACCATGACTTTGGTTGAAGAGAATCTGAAGTGAGAGGTAACGATGGACATTTCAGCTAGGCTCTAGGCTCCCGTGCACCAAATACTTCTTGCGGCAGGCATTGTTCTAAGAGTGAGTCATGTAATCTTCGTGGACTGGTGACACCACAATGATTCCAATCCTATTTTACAAATGTGGTGATGGCGATAAGTTTTGGGAACTTGCTCAGTCTCACACAGCCAAGAGGTTGGTTCAAGTAAGTTGATTCATTCACCCACCTCTGGAGCTAGGCATACGGCTACTTTTTCTCGGGGCTTATGAGGTCCTGGGACCTCATAAGTGACCTACCATATACTCCTGTAAGCACTCCTTGCAAATCTCCTCTCTTCCCACCTGCCCCAGGAATTTCTCAGAGAAGGGCTATGCCCCGTCTTCCTCTTCACCCTCAAGACTATAACAGGCCTTTCCCCCTCCATCACCTTGTACCCTGCAGTGCCCTGAGTGTTTCCATCTCCTCAGACTCATTCACTGAAGCCCTGGTTCCAAAGTGGGTCCTGTGGAAGGTGAATATCTCATGAGTGAGAAGCTGTCACAATGGGACTGGTGTCCTGCTTCAGAGAGAAGAGGGAGCTCCCCCTCCCCCCAGCCCCATGAGAGAACGCAGTGAAAAGCTGGCTGTGTTTCCCTGGGGAGGGGCACTTCCCACCACCTGGCCATCCAGGGCACCTGAACTAGGACTTCCACCTCCTGGGTTTCTGCTGTTTAAGTCACCCAGTCTATGGTGATTTGCTACAGCAGCTTCAGTGGGCTAAGGCACACTATTGGCTAAAAGCACACTTATCCTTGCTTTTCCCGTCTCAGCGGAAACAGTGACAATCCAGGAACAATCCTGAATACCCCAAGTAAGTTCAGGTATTCCTCTTTGGAGATCCCACAGCATATAGTTAGACCCCTTCCTCGGCATGGGTCACCCCACACCGCAGACTCCCCCTCACCTGACTTAGCACCTTGCCCAGCATTCTCCTTTAGTGCCTGTTTTGTTTTGTTTTGTTTTTGTCAGTTGTAGGGCCTGGGCACTCAGCTCTTCAGCTCAAGGCTAGTGCTCTACCACTTGAGCCACAGTGCTATTTCCAGTTTTCTGAGTGGTTTATTGGAGATAAGAGTCTGTAGACTTCCCTGCCCAAGCTGGCTTTAAGCCACAATCCTCAGATCTCAGCCTCCTGAGTAGCTAGGATTACAGGCGTGAGCCGGCACCCAGCATCTGAGAGTAGTTTTAAGTGAATAAAGTAGTACATGAGCACAGCTGGAAAGAAAAAAAAAAAGCTCCACTCAGAAATCAGCATCATTGTCTGACCATCCCGGCTCCTGCCACCGGGACTCACCACCACATTCAGACCAACACTGTTCTTTCTTCGGGCTGCTCTCAATTGGTGACAGTGCATGGTGGTGGCGCTGAGACATGCCCATCCCTGTGGAACCTGCACCTCCTCCAATGGGGATCCAGGTCTTCCCACAGGCCTGAAAGAACCATTCCTGAACTCACAATGTTGTCCATGGTCCTCCTGGGCCTTCTCTTCTTCCCCTTCCTCCACCTCTTGCTCCTCTCCCTCTGCTCCTTTCTCTTCCCCTCCTCCTCCCTCCATAAATACCAGACACCACAATCTAATGGCTCTCCCTGCTCACTCCTGTTGCTGCCTCGGGACATCTGTTGGACATCTAATATCATCTTAGCATCTGCAGTGAGTCTGTGTGGTACCTGCTGCTCAATGACCCCTCTCCAACATTGGGACAGACAAACATGTTCGTTCTCCCTCAAATCTTATTAGAAGCAACATCCTGGCTGCTGTGGACTGAACTATCAGTGTCATCCCAAACTCAGAGGTTGAAACTGAGCCCCAAGGGAACGCAGTAGAAGATTTTGCAAACTGACTTGCTTAGGAAGGTGACACTGCTGCCTGAAGGGGATTAATACCCTTGGTAAGAGAGCATGAGGGTTGGGAGCCAGTGGCTGATACCTGAAATGTTAGCTACTCAGGAGATGAGATCTGAGAATCATGGTTCAAAGCTAGCCTGGGAAAGAAAGTCCAAGAGACTCTTATCTCCAATTAACCACCAAAGAAGCCCAAAGTGGAGATGTACCTCAAGTAGTAGGGCACCAGACTTGGGTGAAAGAGCTAAGGGACAGCACCCAGGCCCTGAGTTCAAGTTCTAATAAACACATACACACAGACACACACACACAATGGTGACAGGCATGCACACGCTCAGGCACAGCCACCAGCAGGACCTTGTCACGGGGGTCCCCTCTCACAGGCCACAATGTTGAAAATGGCCAAGTCAGAGAAACAAGATCCTAGAGATATCCTCACCATGGTCATTCACTCCTTCAACACTGCCTGATCCATCCCGGAAGCTCCCTCTTTCAGCTCTGCAGACCAGGACAGCAAAGGTATCACCTCTTCCCTCCAAGAAAACAAGCTCCCTCAGGAGGCCAGTGAACATCCTGGGCTTTAGTGCTAGATCCCAAAAGAACAGGCAAAACAAACTGCCCTTCCACCCACCGAGAAACAGGAAGAGTCAGCATGGCCTTCAGATATTGCATATTTCAACTGCTTGGAGAATCTGGGACACTGTCTGCCTCCCCACCCTCAGCCTCCCAAAATAAAGGACACAGCGCTAGAAATAAGCAACCTAGGTCCATGCACATGCTGCCTCTCCAAGGCAGTCGGACTCCATTTCTAATTTGGAATTAAAGTTGAAGTTCTACTGTGCTGGATACCATATGTCACCTGTTCTAGTCCCTTCTTTTCCAACCACTGATTCTCAAAAATGTGATACCCTTTTATATCAAGAACCCTGCCCTCTAACATTGTATGGGACTATGCCATGAACCAAAAATATCATCTACTGAGGAGTATCAGCTCTGAGGATCCCAGTTTGAAACCAGCCTGTGCAGACAAATCTGAGAGATTCATATGGCCAATTCATCAGCAAAAAGCTGTAAGTAGAGGTGTGGCCCGAGATACAGCACTAGCATTTAGGAAAAAAAAAAAAAGTTCAGCAAGAAAAGAAGAAAAGAAGGAAGGAAGGAAGGAAGGGTGAGGAAGGGAGGGAAGGGGAAGAGGAAAAGTAAGTACAGAAGGAGGGAAAGAGTGAGGAAGAAAGAAAGGAAGGGAAGAAAGAGGAAGGAAGGAAGGAAGGAAGGAAGGAAGGAAGGAAGGAAGGAAGGAAGGAAGGAAGGAAGGAAGGAAGGAAGGAAGGAAGGAAGGAAGGAAGGAAGGAAGGGAGGGAGGGAGGGAGGGAGGGAGGGAGGGAGGAAGGGAGGGAGGGAGAGAGGGAGGGAGGGAGGGAGAGAGGAAAATTCCCCCAAATCCTTTCTGAAAAGGGGGTATACAGTCACCTTTTGATCTCAAGATGCTTGACCTTGGTGGGAACCTATGGTTCATAGCTGTAATCCTAACTACTCAGGAGGCTGAGGTCTAAGGATTGCAGTTCAAGCCAGCCACCAGGCAGAAAAGTCCCTAAGACTCTTATCTCCAATTAACCAGCATAAAGCCAGATCTAGAGCTGTGACTTACGTGGTAGAGCATCAGCCCTGAGTGAAAAAGGTAAGGGACAGCTCCAAGAGTTCAAATCCCAATACTGGCAGACATGCACGGTGCACACATACATACACAGATGCTTGACCTCCATTCTTTCCCACTCAAAACCCTCACAGAAAATTCATCTTCTGGACTAACCAGCACAAGACTTTCTGGTCACATGACTATACTGCAAGAATGCACCACATCTTTTTTAGAAAAAAAATATTACTTTCTCATCTGTTTCTGTATTTTTTTAAAAGCCATTAAGCAATTGCACACAGATTGTGTCACAGCCCAAAGAGCAAGTCGGCATTTGAAAATAAAAATGAAAAAGACTGCACAGTCCCAGCCTAAGTTGGATCAGCAAGATTTGTCAGCATGTGCCAGGAAAAAGAATTTTTTTTGATGTTCTGTGATTTTGCAGCCATTTAAATTTTATTAGCAATTATTGAGCCTGTTACTACTGAGTACATCTTGCGGTTACAGCCAAGTCTCGGCAAAGAGAGAGTGTCACAATGTCAGGGGTACAGACAGACCCAGCATACTTCTAGAAACACAAACCACCTTCTCACTAAGATTAGTTTCATTAAGATTCTCCCCTTGCAGAGGACGGGTAGCTCAGGCCTATAATCCTAGCTACCCAGGAAGCTGAGATCTGGAGGTCTTGGTTCAAAGACAACCAAGCAGGAAAGTCTCTGCAACTCTGATCTCCAATTAGCCACCAAGCTGCAGTGGAGGTGTGGCTCAAGTGGCAGAGCGCTAGCCTTGAGCAAAAGCCCTCTGGGACAGCACCTGAGTTCTAACCCTAGGATCAGCACCATCATCACCACCAACAACAAAAACAGATTCTTCCTTATAGATTCTACTTTTCCTCGTGTTATCTAAGCTGTGGAAGGAAGATAGACAGTTATTTTTCAGAAATTTAGGGTTACAGCATATTGGTCCACAGCATCCCCCCTTCCCTGAGTCATCTTCAGGAGACAGAACTCTGGTGCCTGTGGGAAGCCTGCTTCTGCAGGTGCATTCTAGTCAGCTTTCAGTGAGGAACTGCACCCCAACTGAAGTGCTTTCCAGCTCTCAGTGACCCCCACCACTGCTCCTCCTTTGGAGCTGGTTCTGATGACCTTAGCCTCTGGCTAGGGAAGGAGCTAGAAGTCTAGAGAAAGTGGATTAAAGTGGAGCTAAAGCTCCCTGTTGATGCCATGCTAGCCCTACTCAGATGTGACAGAAGACTTGCACAGCATCTACCAGTATCCACCAAGCCCCTTCCAGTCCCCTCTGTCCCCTCCTAGGGAGTAACAGCTGCCATTTGGGGTCTGCTGCTATTGTCATGAAACTACCAATTTAAATGCTAGTACTGTCACCAGCTAAGAACTTAGTGGCATGGAGTCATGGTCCTTTAAATCAACTCCTGCACAAAGATCAGCTTCATTCTCTCACGCCATCCTCCTTGCATCTTCCAACCAGCTCTGTTGTCATCAGTGTTACGTTACCTCTTCCATTAACCAACTAGTCAGTTGGGGTGCGGTTCCTCACTGAGGGCTGACTAGTATGCACCTGCAGAAGCAGGCTTCCCATAGGCACCAGAGTTCTGTCTCCTGAAGATGACTCAGAGAAGGAGGGATGCTGTGGACCAATATGCTGTAACCCTAAATTTCTGAAAAATAACTGTCTACCTTCCTTCCACAGCTTAGATAACACGAGGAAAAATAGAATCTATAAGGAATCGACCAGCCTACCTTTGCTTGCCTGAAGGAGCCCAAGGGAGCCTAGATCAAAACTCTGACATTCTTGGCAGACTCTCCCTTGCACTCCTAGGGAAGGGGGAAGTATATTTCACCAAGTAACAGCTGCGTACCAGACCCCAACATCTTCTAGTATATTCTCATAACTGTTCTTCTTTCTCACACGACCCCTATTTCATAGATGAAGAAATGGAGGCTCAAAAAACAAAGAAATGAACTGAGGAGGCAGTGGCTGTACTGGAATCAACTCCAGAAATACAAATGTACAGCCAATGTTCATTGAGGGTTTACTAGGTGCTGGCTGCGGCTTGAAGGGTTCACGAGGTTTGGCTCACATAGTCTTCCCCCCAAAGTCCCTGGGAGTTATGAAGACTCTGAGATGACCTGCTTCCCGGAAGATAAGAGGAAGGACTGATGCAGGCAGAATGACTGACTCTGTCATGCACCCTGTCTCCTTCCTTGCCAGCACCAGCACTCTAAGGCAAACATGAACACATGGTGCTTTGAACTCTCTGGAAGTGCCCAGCACCCTTGGTTGAAATATCATATGCTAACAATCAGAGAAAATTATTGTATTTCACTGAATCCAAGATGTCACCAATGGCAAAGCATGTCACCACTTTATGTACAACTAAGAACAAAAAGCTCTGCCAATGAAACTGGGACACAGTGTTTTCTTACCCATGGAAAAGAATGGGGAGGATGTGTGTCTTAGAATTAAGGACACACTGCAGGCTTAGCCTGAACACGGTGGTGAAATGCATAACAGATGCACGGTGGACAGGCTCTCTGCAAGAACAGCAAGGATTTTTTTAGCATCCAATACGACGTTTACAGAAAACTCAAGGACTCCAGTTTTTAGGTGCAAGCTTCTAGTTAATAAATGTTGGCATTCAGTGTCCTGGTGCAAAGCAAACCTACCAGACTACAGCCCAAACTGGCCAAGGTCCTTGGAGCTATGCTAAGTTCCAGTAAGACAGAAAGCCAGCTATACTGTGTTTTGTCAACAGCATTCTGCTCACCTCATGGCTGGAAAGGGCATAGAACTTTCCAGCTTCACTGGAAAAGTTCACTAAGTAGTGTTCTGAGTATCTTTCTTCCACAGAAAGCGCCAATCACAGCATTAGGTGATAAAAGTAGGAGTGATATGACAAGCATTAAATATATTATATTTACTTTCTCAAGTAAGTCACTGTTCTTAATGTTTTAAACCACTCACATTCTATGGACATACTTGGTCCTGCTCCCTAACCACCAAACTATAAAGGAGGGCCAGAACAAATAGCAGTGAAGTATCCTAAGTGGAAGAGTCCACTAGGGAGCCAAGTGCATGCCAAGGCGTCATCCTGGGTTAGCTAGGGGCAAGTGGAGGCTTTACCTTCTCAGCACCTACTCAATATAAGAGGTCTAGTAGGGCCTTGAGAGCTTCAAGTGCAAATTTTGGAAAAGTCAAGATGGAGATAGTCAAGATGGTATCATGCCGGATTACAGGCAGCCCTCATCCAAAGATCACTGTCTTCATACGAAGAAAAATATTTGACTGGGCATGAGTGGTGGTACACACTTGCAATCCCAGCTATTCGGGAGACAGAGATAAGAAGATCATAAGTTTAAGACCAGCCTGGAAAAAAACTGGAAAAACTGTCAAGACCCTATGTCAAAAACAAAATAGAAAACAAAAGGGCTAAGAGGATAGCTCACCTAGCAGAATATTGCTTGGCATGATCAAGACCCTGGGTTCAATTTCCAGTACCACAATTAAAAAAGAGAGAGAGAAAATTCAGACAGAGAAATAACAGAGTCAGGGAAAATGCCATAGGAGGATCAAGGCACAGATTGGGGTAATGTGTCTACAAGCCAGAAAACACAAGTACTTCCAGAAACCACCTGAAGCCAGAAAGAGGCAAGGATGGCTCCTCCCTAGATACTCAGGACAGCCACCAGGCCCCATTTGATTGGGGGCTTCAAACCTTCACAACTGTCAAAGAGTCCATTTTATGCCATGTGGCTTGTAGTATTTTTGTCTTTGTTGCCCTGAGAAACTGATATAGTCAGAGAGTTTAGGAGCACTTAGCCTTTCTCTACCTACTGAAAATTTACTGCTTCTTTTTTTTTTTTTTAATTTAACAAAGGCCTCTTAGAAAAGGTTGCATGAGGCCAGATTCATATAAACAAGCACAGCTTGATAACTTGAAACTATCCATATGCAGATATCCTGGCAGGTAGCTACCTGGGAATTTACAATTTTGACATCAGAGCTGAGAGTCTTTCTCTACAGATAATGAGGCATGAGGGAAAGAGGTGAGCCAGACAAAAAAAGTGCTTCTAAAATTCTAAATAGAAATTTGTTATACCTTAATTCTGGAGGACAAGCCAGACACAGGTATCTCATGCCTACTGTAATCCAGGCTGAGACCTGAAGATTGTGGCTAAAAGCCAGCCTGGACAGAAATGTCCATCTCCAAGTAACTACCAAGCCAGAAGTGGAATTGTAGCTAGCTCAAAGGTAGAGCCACCAGCCTTGAGTGAAAAACCTATGGAATAGCATAAGCCCTGAGTTCAAGCCCTAGTATTGCCACAAAATAGATTAATTAATGATAACAACAATGACTCCAAAGAACAGACTCCAAAATCAAGATATCTCCTTGTCTCCTCTGAGATTTCTAAGGGAGGAGGGTATATAGGTCTTCTGTGTTTTCATATCTTCTTCTATCTACACATGTAGACTTCTAAAATTCTTCTTAGAAGGATTTCGGCCAGGCTGGGATAAGGGCTATCCTATGACCTCTGTTTAACTGCTAGTCTAAGGACCATTCCATGACCTCTGTTTAACTGATTACTTATTAATCAGTTGACAAGTAATTAACTTGAGGCACTGCAGGTTAAGACTTCAACTCTGGAATATGGACTGGGCACAATTCAGCCTAAAACAATGATGGTTGGTTCTCTTTTGACACAGTTGAAGATAGAAAGACCAGACCCCTCTGTAGCTTCACCACAAATCATTGACAGGTTTGCCTGTCACCACTCTGATCTTCAAGAAAAGCCAGTGTTGCTTAGGAAAAGAAGAAGCGTGCTGCACCTGGCCCTCAGAAGCTTCTGATTTCCAGAATTGTTGGTGAAATAACTGAACCCATTCCCACGGCTCCCCACCTCTGCTTGCTGAGAAACACCATATAAAAGAAAATGTTACATGGAGCACCACCTAGAGGCAGAAAATGCGGCCGCCAAAAAAAGAAAGGAAGAGTATTTGCTCCACTTTTACAACTTCCAGATGATCATTATTCCAGACTTGTCTTTACGGTTCTATCTCATGGATATCTGCCATTACATCTGCACAATTAGAAGGTACACTTAAGTAGCAGTTGGGAGCACTAAAAGCAAATAAAATTCAAATCCCATTTCTGTAACTACTTTTCTGGATTTGGAGAGTCATTAAGATGTTATCATTTGATAAGGTCTTCAGATTTATTTCCTGCCACCAAATACACACCCACACATATACACATGACCACACGTACCACAAAACCTAAAAACTATAAAATCTGAGACTTTGAAAGTCTGCACGTGCCTGGCTAAAGTCATCAATCAATATAATTTTCCAAATGCAAAAATCAACCACCCTGTGAATGGAATCCCAAGCACTGGAGAATTTTCTCAACTTTGTTAGGACATGGACAGCTGGCAGTCAAAGTCCAATCTTGGACTGTTGCTTTATTACACTGAGTGGCAGTAATTAAATTATACTTTCTTTGAGGAAAACAGACTCAGAAGACTAAAAACCATTTTAAAAGTCCCTTAGCCAGAAGCCAATGGCTTATTCTTGTAATCCTGCTATACAGGAGACAGAGATCTGAAGATAACAGTTCTAAGCCAAATAAACACCCACAAGCCAGAAGTGGAGCTTGGCTCAAGCGGCAAAGTGCTAACCATGGAACACAAAAGCTCAAAACACACACACACACACACACACACACACACACACACGCACACACACACCATTAACATAGAAAAACACTGAGTTTTTTACAATGCTTGATAAGAAATGTACTCATTATCTTGCCCATGTAATTGTAACCCCTCTGTATAATACTCTCACAATAAAAAAAATTAAAATTAAAAAAAGACATTGAATTAAAAAAAAAAAAAGAAATTTGTTTTCTGATGCCAGGCGTAGGTGGCTCATGGCCTATAATCCTAGCTACTCAGGAGACTGAGATCTGAGGATCACAGTTCAAAGCCAGCCTGGGCAGGAAAGTCCATAAGACTCTTAGCTCCAATAAACCACTAGAAAACCAGAAGTGGTGCTGTGGCTCAAGAGGTAGAGCACTGGTCTTGAGCTGAAGAACTGAGGGACAGCGCCTAAGCCCAGAGTTCAAGCCCCATGACTGACCAAAAAAAAAAAAGAAACTTGTTTTCTGGGTGTCATTCAAGGGTCCATATGCTAAAGTTTGGTTTGGAGGGTGGCAATGTTGGGAGGTAATAAAATATAAGAGATGTGGTCTACTGAGAGAACTTTAAGTCATTGGAACTATGCCCTTGAAGGTGAGGGAGCCTCTTTCTCTCTCCTTCTCCCTTTCTCCCTCTCCTTTCTCTCTCCCTCTCCCCTCTCCTCTCTCTCTCTCTATCTCTCTCTTTCTCTCTCTCTTTAGAACTGAGGCTTGAGTTCAGAGCCTGGGCACTGTCCCTTAGTTTTTTCTCTCAAGGCTGGAGCTCTAACATTTGACCCACAAATCCACATCTAGCTTTTTGATAGTTAACTGAAGCTAAGAATCTCACAAACTTTGCTGCCAGGTCTGGCTTTAAACTTTAATCCTCAGATTACAGTCTCCCAAGTAGCTAAGTAGCCACTGGCATCCAGTTTTATTTTTGTTGTTTTTTTTTCTCATTCCTGGCTTTGAAATAAGCATCTTTACTCCACCATGATATGCTATCTCAAGACATGCCCTAAGCACCAGAGCTTCCACTTAATGCCTCTAAAACTGTGACTCAAAATAAACTTTTCCTCTAAGTTGATTATTTCAGGTATTCATTATAGCAATGATCACAGTCATGATAGTACATCAATGACAACATACAATCCACAGGAAGCTACTCAGCAGAGTAACAGATGCTGGGAGAGAAATACTCAGACACCCCCTCCACCCCCCCACACACACCCTGTCCTGGAGTTCTCTGATGAAGACTTAAACCTTTCAGAAAGACTCTAAGACCCCTAGCATTTTCTGCTAGAGGAAGAGGGACTCAGAACCTTCTGGGCTCAGAGACAAGCTTTGTATAATCCTAATCCCTCTGTGGCTCAGCTTCCTCATCTGGAAAAGAGGCCAGTTCCTTCCCAATAAAACTTTTGTGACTATCCAATGAGTTAATAAAATGGGACATGCCCAGGACAGTGTGGCCCAGAAGACTTTAGTAAGTCCACACAAGGACTCCCACACAAGCAGGCCTTTCGGAGAGCAGCTATGCTTTCCTAAAATATACCTCAGTTCCTTTCAAGAGAAGGGGAGGGGAGGGAAGGGATGGAGAGAGGAGGGGAGGGAAGGGATGGGAAAGGATGGGAAGGGAAGGGAAGGGAAGGGAAGGGAAGGGAAGGGAAGGGAAGGGAAGGGAAGGGAAGGGAAGGGAAGGGAAGGGAAGGGAAGGGAAGGGAATTTGGATAAAAAGATCACTCAGGGCAATCTACCAACCAAGAACAAAAATACACTCAAAGTTTCCCCAATTGAGCCTCTTCTCAAAACGATATGAGGTTGTTCCCCAGAGACACAGAGCAAAGAATGTAAAGCATCAGCCCAGATGAAAATTAACAATAGCGTACTAATAGATATTTCACAAGGAACAATAACTAGTAAATGGAGGTATGGGAAAACATTCAACCTCAATTTTTAAAAAAAGATCTTATATACATTAACTGTTTTCAACTATTAAATTAGCCCCAAAATATGTTTTTAAAAGAGATTACTCAATGCTTGCCAAGACAAAAATAAAGTCCTGGTTTTCAGGCATTGCCAGCGCAAGCAAAGGAGTGCAGACCTTTAGCAAACAAGCGGGCAGTCTGTCTGTAGAGCCAGAAAAAGCTTCCACTCCCCAGACTGGCTGTTTCATTTCATTTCTGAGAATTCCAGTCTAAAGAAATTTCTCAAAACAGGAGCAAAGTCATACCCACCCTCATGTTCACAACAGTGTACACTATGTCCAACAGTGGAAAAATGGAACCCATTAATGCTGGGCCTGGGGCAGGGGAGGGGGTGTAGCTCAGGGATACAGTGCTTGCCTAGTTAAATAGGAAAACCAGAGTTCCAGCACTGCAAAAAAATATACATAAATAAAAAGTAATGAGAAATAACAAACAATAACTTAAGTAAGCTACTTTATAATAAATACAAAAAAAAGGATTCATATCTAGGCATTCAAATGGTGAAAGAAAAATATGCAAAAAGAAAATGATGACTTGGCACAATGCTACATAGAAAAGCTAGAAATGCAAAACAGAACATTCACAGAGATTAAAACAGAAAGGCACCTGAATGAAACCTTCCAAGACAGCTGGGTCTACTACAGTATGGATTCTCGTATGATTCTTTTGTTTTTTCTCCTCTCCCTGTCCTCGGTTTTTACACGACGTGATTTCATTACCTTTATGATAAAATTTCTTACTGTCTGAAAATTCTGGCCTCTGCTGTGGATACAAGGAGCTACTTACTGGCTATGTCCCACCACAAGATACCTCTCTCCCTCTGTCTCTCACTCTACGAATTATCTTGTCAGCGGCCAAGTATCAGTCAGCATTGGAGGCCCTCATCTCTGCAAGGACATCAGATGCTTCCCTGTCCTCTCCTAAAGCACCCAGATGTGCCAGAGAATTAGACAAAGGGCTTTGTGACTTGCAGAAGGCCGAGGAAGAAAGTGGCATCGATTATTGATCAAGCTGCTCTCTGGGTGTCCTGAAGAGATGCAACCTCAGGCTTTCCACCCTGGCTCAAGCTAAAGCCATCATGTCTTTCTGCTATCTAGGCCACTCAAGAGGTCCCAAGTATCTTCAGCAGCGTAAGCTTAAAAAAAAAAGGAAACTAGAGGGTTTTTTTTTTATTGTAGTGTTTGTGGTTCTTTTTGTTTGTTTGCTTGGTTTTCTTTTTCCTTGTGTCACTGTTTTTGATCTCTGTACCCTGCATCTCCTACATAAGTTTATCTGATTTGGGGAGGGGAAGAGGAAACGCTGAAATGGTGGGACAAGGGGTGAACAAATGCAGCAGTGATACTCACCAGACACTGTCAGAAATGAACTATATAACTTGGGGGGAGGGAGGAGAAAAAGTGGGAGAAAATGAGGGAGGAGGTGACACTGTTTGATAAGAAATGTACTCATTACCTGACTTAAATAACCGTAACCCCTCTGTATATCACCTTTACAATACGATAATTTAAAAAGCAAAGGTGATTTAAACAGTAAGTTATAATGCACATATTTGGTGGCCCTTGTCAACTGAGTCAACTTCACTAAAAAAAAATTTGCAAATAGAAAGCATGGTGAAGATGCCAAGGGCCTCTACTGTGAAGCAGAAAAGGCAGGTGACTCGATCGTACAACTCATGATAACACCAAGTAGCGTGGTTTGTGTAGACAGTATAGGCTAACAAGCCACGGGGAGTGTGCAGGCTCTATGGTGAATGCCTTACGCACACACATTAAAACCTCACTGT